CTCGCTAGTCCCAGGGGAGCTGTGCATTACGTCAGTGACATCTGCTGTCATGGCAGAAGAATACTATGAGCTGCTGTGCTGAGTAATGTCCAGAATCACCCTTAGTGTTTGCATATAAAGCATCATGAGTCATATGAAAAGGCTACTGAAGGACAGCTATGTGTTCACTGTGTTCTGTGCAGTGCCTGGCAATACCTAAACTCTTGTTTATTCTTCTTCTTTATGTCATTATTAAATTATGTATTAAATTTTTTTTATGCTCAATAAGAAATTCAGATGTAATTAGAATAATATTTATAAAATGTCCCCCAATTTTAAAAAATAAACATAAAAGTAAAGTAAAATATAAAGTAAAAAACATATGGATTTTATGAAAAATCCATAGGTGAAAAAAAAAATCCCAGAATGTTAGAGTGCTTTAAGTTATTCTTTTCTGCTTTATATGTTTCTGTTCTTGAGCACTTTTCCCCAGTAAAAGCTTATTACTTGTATTTGTCCTAGTACTTAAAAGGACATGCTTTGTCGTAAAAGTTTCATACTCACTTCCAGTCATATGACAAAGAGCATGGAGTCCTAATTTCATAATAGGTACACCCTGTCAGACGCTGCAATGTCGCAGCCGCAGTGCAACCCGACACCTTCTGGACATCTTCAGAACTGCACAGCTATTCTGGGAACAAAGGCCCTGAATGCAACAGCTATTTAAAACCCACACAGTAAGAAGTAAAAAAAAATCAATCTGCAATTAGGCTTGAAGGTTAACAATTCACACAATTAATTTACAAAAGCCGATATTAAAGGATTAAAAAGCACGAAGTTATTGCACGCACACTGGAGTGATAGTTTCCAAAATACCTTTGGAAATATTTTCAGGTAGATTATAGGGTATGCAGTCGGATAAAAACACCTTATGTTTATACAAGTAACATTGTAATACCATGAAATTATATGCAGCGTAGAGGCAATACTCTGAATATAGGGTACTTTCTGAATTGTACAGCCTATTTATATCAAAATGTGACTGGCATTTAGTCATCGTTTTTGTCTGGGACAGGGTCTCTTGTAGCTCAGTGGACATCACATCAGATAACCAAGGATGACCTTAAACTCCTTATCTTCCTGCCTCTACCTCCTGACACCTGTGTGCCAGTGTGCCTGATGTGTGCCGGAACTGGGGTTGAACCCAGGGCTTTGTGTATGCTAGGCTAGGTGAACAGTCTGCCAGCTGGGTAACAGACCCAGTCCACTGGCCATCAATTTAGAGAACTTTATTTAACAACTAAAGTCAAATCCATGCTTGATTGTTTTGCGCTATTTTAGACACTATAACAATTTAGCAAAATTTTAAATGAAATATAATTATTAAAGGTCAAAACTTAGCTTGAACATGTGACTTTTTTATTTTTATATTTTTAGCTGGAAACCGCTTGTAAAATCGTATCACTACAGGTACATTGCTTGAATAGAAAATAAGGCTCTGCTGTAACTCTGAGAACAGGCACCAGCAGTGCCTATAGCTGGCTATGTTTAGGGACTAGCATCGATGACCACGTTTTGCATTTATCTCTAAGTGAGTTTGACGGCTGCCCTGGATTAAGGGTATTTCTTTTTTTTTCCCCCTTGCAAAGAATAGAACAAAAATGTGGCAAAAACTCACCTTACTGTAGCAATGGTTATGTTGGGTCTGCTGGCTCCTATTCTTGGAGGTACAAAAACTCACCTTACTGTAGCAATGGTTATGTTGGGTCTGCTGGCTCCTATTCTTGGAGGTACAGCAATCTCATCCCCGTTATGAACAATCGTGTCCATAGTGATACGATTTCACAGGAAGTCTCAGGCTAAAACAGACATGCTCAAACCAGGTTTTGACCTTTAATAATTAATTAAAACTCCAATGAAATGGAGTTTTATGTAATTCTAATTGTTTAGATTAGAAGAATTAATTTAAGTAGAACAACAAAAGTCTTCGCAGGGCAGACCACAATGAGATTTCACAATGAACTCCTTCTAACACCAGAAACAAACACTTGTATTTCTAGAATCTGTTTTATATCCTATCACTTTTATCTTCTGAGATTGTTGTATACTACAATAAGTAGTTCATGACTGTTGTAGAAATTGGGGAAAGTAACTAAAATAACTACATAGTTTAAAACCAGTAAGGCCAATGATATTAAGTCAGATTAACCAAGAGAGACGTCTTCATGTAGAACCAAAGGGCTTCAGCATATCAGAAACGTAAGGTTTTATTTTTTCCTGACTACTGTCTGCTGGCATTCGCATGTTAAAAATCAATGTTTGCTGATTCATGCTCATTTATTTTTAGGTAGTTACATCTGACTTGATCTAGAAAGTTACTCCCCAAAATAAAGGTAGGCATGATGGTCACTTACCAGCTTCATGGTTCAGATAACTGGAAGTAACTCAGCAGTAAGTGACTTCTGCATTGTATAAGTGTTCAGTTCCCAAAGACAGATATATTCTCATTTTGACTAGTTAGAAATTCTGTCAGCCTGGAAATTCATCCAAACAACTGATTGCAGCCAACAGGCTGGTTCCACAGATCAGAGCTGCAAGGGTGGAGGTACAAAGAAGCGGGAAGGTGCACAGTCCTCGGAAATTCAGTCAAGGAGGTATTGACGCTGACTCCAAAGGAGCGCTGGGTGGGGAGGTTCTTATGACTGAGTCGGGCTTGTGGCTGGGTCGACATCGGAGACAAGGTAAGAGGAAATTTTAAAGAAAGCTCGGAATATTTGCAAAATCCTTTGCCTTCATGATTTCAGAGTGTCGAATTTATTTGCTGTTTAAAATACAAGCAAACTGCATTACAACTCTGTGAGGGCCATGAGTCGGGAGGGAACACAATCGTGGTTGCTCTGTAGTTATTTCGATGTTTTCTCACTAGTTTCTCACTTCCCACTTTCGGAACACTGTGCACCCTTAATTGTTATTTAAGCTTTTGAATTATTATACCAATCCATGAGGTTTTGACAAAGGTTCCAGGTACATGGGAAGGAGGTCCTATGCTAAGAGCTTTATCCAGGGAGCAAAGTAAGCTGTAACAGTATGTGGTAATAGTCACTATTTTTATACATAAAAAATTTGGAGAGTTTTTAAATGGAGAAGAATGCTAACAGCACACCGATAGCTTTACCTTCCTTCTTCTTGATGGATCTGTTGTGACGTTCTGATCTGATGGAAGAGGAGGAGAGATTATCCCTTCCAGTTGCCCCAAAGCTATTCTGTAGGGAGTTCTAGACCAGCCTGGTCTACATAGTGGTCTACAGAGGTTCAGGTCAGTCAGAGCAGTGTAAAGGGACACTGTTTCAACACCAAACAAGCATTCCCCCCCCCAAAGAAAAACAAAATCCTTATAAAACTACCATGTATTGCTAATACTTGGTGTAGCTTACATTTTTGCTAATCAGTTTGATTCTTTAAAAGTATTCAAAGAGCCGGGCGGTGGTGGCGCACGCCTTTAATCCTAGCACTGGGAGGCAGAGGCAGGCAGATCTCTGGGAGTTCGAGGCCAGCCTGGTCTACAAGAGCTAGTTTCAGGACAGGCTCCAAAGCTACAGAGAAACCCTGTCTTGAAAAACCAAAAAAAAAAATTGAAAGAATGTAGATATCCAAAATTACATGTAATAGGAAGTATACATAAAAAGGGGACATGCTTTTCAAACTAAAAGTTTGAGCAGTATAATCAGAAAATAGCAGAGTAAGGATTTTTCCAGAAAATCCTAAAGAACTGCTCTGTAATCTTGGAGAAAGACACACACACACACACACACACACACACACACACACACACACACACAAGGAAGTTACAAAGATGAAGCCAGGACTGAACTGATAAGAAGACAAATCAGCACCCCTAAAGACTACATTATACTTTCAATGATATTGAGAACAATTAGACATGTCCAAAAGCATGTGGATAGCAGAATTTTTTGAACAAAACATGTCTCATTATGATTAAAATCTTACTATCATAAAGATGTAGAAATATACCACAATAATAATTATGCTGAGTCTATCTATTCCATGTGTGTGTGTGTGTGTGTGTGTGTGCGTGCGTGTAGCAGGGGTGGGATGGAGGTAGGGGTGTGGGTGGTGCACTCCCCGATGAGTGTGGTGTTCAGAGGACAGTGTTCAGGTGCTGTTTTCCTGTTCCATCACGTGAGGCCTGGTGACTGAACCCTGAGTCCTCAGGGTTGCCTGTACCCGTTGAGCCAGTTCCCCAACACGTGGCTTCTTCTAACAGGCTTCTCTCTAAAGATGACAGCCAGTGTGGAAATCCCCTGCTCTGAGGAGGCTCCCAGACAATCTTGTAATTATCCTGAGAATTTAAGAGAAGTTAATAGGAATACAGGAGACTCAAGTGGGGACACTATCCCCAGCTGTTCCAAAACAGAGGGAATGAGGATCTACAGTTAGGGGCTTAGATTCTTCTAAATTCTAATTAAAATGAATATGCTAAATGAAATATTTCCATTTCCTGTTCTTTTAGTATACTCCATTTCTTAAAGCTCCGATTCTCAAACTCTTCTCTCCTGCTACCTTGATGAGTTCCTGATAATCCTGAGGAAAATGAGCTCCCTTTGGAAGGCACTGTGTGCTGCAGGGGTCTGTTATGTTTTAAATTCTCCGATTTCTGCTTTTAGCAGAATTCCCCGCTGGACTGGTTTTGGTAGTTGTTCACTATGCAGAAAATGTAAAATCATAGGAAGGAGTCAGGGGATTCTTGTCTACACTGTGAGAGTGGATCAGTCTCAACCCGTGCAGAGTTACACAGAATTAAAAAAAAAAAGACCACAGACAAACTGACAAAACCTGTAACACTAGAACCCAAATTAAACCATGTAATTTTAAGTTCCATTAGAAGTCAAATGAGATTGCTGTTTCAAATGAGGTTGTTTTTTTTTTTTTAATTTTTTATTGTTGCTGCTGTTGTTGTTTATTGGTTTTTACATTCTCTCTGAAACTCTTTGTAAAAATACCTTCAACTTCAGGAGTCAAGGTGAAGTCAGGTCCCAAGAAATGGCTAAATCCAGCAGGCAGATTAACATTTGTTATTGGACAGAACAGTCCACTGTCCGCAGGAGAGCTGGTAACAGGAACGAACTACACAATAAAATACAACAGTTAAGAACATCTTACCTCGAAAGCGGAGTTAAACAGGCTTTCTTATCACAAGACCGTGCTGCAGAGTCAATTTAAGGAAGTACTTTTACAGGCTCGCCTAAGCTCGGGATTGGAATCTGTCAATAGGACCAAGTAGAGCCCTGCAGGCACGGAGCTGGCTTCCCTCAGAATCTCAGGCTCTGCTTTTTCAGACTCTGTCCTACCCACTGCTAGGAACTAGTGCCTGAAGGCCCATCCTACTTCCAAAGCTCTTAGCAGGGAGGATTCGAACTGTGAACACGAGGACGTGTTTCCTTCACAAGGGCTCTTTTTCTTTCTTCGAATATTTATTTTCCCTTTGTGTGAATGACTGTCTTGCTTGCCTGCATGTATGTATGTGTGCCATGTGCATGCTGGCGCCAGGAGGGGTCAGAAGAAAGTGTTGGACCCTTAGGAACTGTAGATGAGTGTAAGCCACCAAGTACGTGGGAGCTGGGGACAGAATGGCTGTCTGCATGCATGAATGCCTGCTCTATTTTCATCAGGACTGTGAGCTTGTTTAAAGTGATAAATTCTGAACATATGGTTTGACTTATTTTAAGAGACAAGCCTTTATTATCTGCGTAAAGTAACCAACTTGACTTCAGCAAGCATTACCAAGAAAGCAGCTTCGCCCGGGGAACCAAGGCCCTGTAGCTAATGCTGTGTAGCCCTAAGTGGACCAACAGCTCATTTATGGGGGTTTCTTTCTGTCACTAATTTGGCATGCTGCCAACTTTTCTGTTAAAGCCAAACCCCTAACATGGTTGGGTGTAAATGTTTAGAGTTCAGAGAGGTCTTCGCCCTTCTGCTGTTAGAAAAGAAGCAACAGCAACACCCAAAATAAAGAAATTTGAACTGAGAAACTTGAACTCTTTTATATTTTTGCTTATTATAAATAGCTAAAAGAAATCATGGCTCAGTTTTGTTCTAGCCACGAAAGTAAGAATTATTATTGAATTGTAAAATACATTTTAAACACTTCATTTATTTTACTGTGTATAGATGGATCAAGAATAATTTTAAATAAGATGTTTGCTTACATAATAAAATAGCTAAATTCTTTTATATAGCACTATTCAAAAGGCAAGAAGTTATGGTGAACAATTATTATAATGCTAGAGAAATGGAAAATGGAAGCCAATTTCACAATTATATATAAAGGGTGTCTTAAAGTTATTGTCAGTGTTGTTTTGCTTTAAAATTTAGCAATATGACTTTAAAATAGAACTCATCCATTTTAATTAAACAATAGTTCTTATACGTGGCCCTATGAAACCTCACATATGCAGTGTGGTAGAAGCCTCTTCCCCCAAAGATGCCCACTAGCCCCATCTCTAACCCTATGAAGACCTTACCTTACATGACAAAGGAGTTTGCAGGTGTGACTGAGGTAAGAACTTTGAAGTGGGGAAATTACTCTGGATTACCTAGAAGGAGGGAGACAGACGGTCAGAGTGGGCCATGGAGCTGTGAAGATGGAAGCAGAGGCTGGCCCGATGCCACAGCTGGCTGAGGACCAGGAGCCACGGTCACCTGGGAGCTGGAAAGCGCACAGGCTAAGTTCCTTCCAGAGCATCCAGAAGGACACAGCCCAGCCAGTGCTTCCATCTGAGACCCAGTTTCAGATTTCTGACTTTCTGAACTATCAGTCACCATGTGCTACGTTAAGCCATGAATTTGTGATAATTTGATGCAAGAACAACAGAAAACTATTTCACGGGGCATGTGCTCTTTCAAGAGGTGGCTGGAAGATCAGAAAGAGGAGTTAATCACTGAACTAGATGTCACCTTATTTGTTCTCTGAAACAGTGAAGCCCAGGCAGGGACTTAAGCACAAGATGTTAGACAATACTCTTAGCTACACTGGTTGTTAGGACTCAAAGCCAGAACTTCAATCTTTCTAACATATAGATCAATCTCCTTTTTAAAACTAATTTTTGTTAACATTTAATGATTATGAGCTCAAGGTTCCTATGGTTCTAACTCTAACTTGTTCTAGAAATGCCTTTATTAAAATATGTGAAGATTAATTTTTAAAAATTGGAGTTAGTTAGAAAGTCAAGGAATTATTAAAAAATTGCAAGCTGGAATTAAATTATATCTGAGTGGTAGAACACATGCTTAGTATGACCTGTGTTTGCTCCTCAGCATCACAAAAAAGAAAAAAACCCAATATAATACATATTTATCTTTTAACAAATTTCAAATGTATATATGTTTGATGAAGAAAAGATCTCTGCCTCTTTGGAGGAATCTATCAGGTAGCCTCTGTCAAGAATGACTTTGAACATCTGATCTTCCTGTCTCCAAGGGTTGTGGCCACAGGTATGCACACCACATGCCTGGCCAAGGCCATCTTCTAAGTGAGTACCTTTGATTGACATTTTGCCTAACTGTCCTTTAAGATTTTTGCCAATAATTTTCTCTGCTGGTTTCTTTAAGATAGCATGAATTTAAGGACATGGAGAAGATTTGAAGACAGTAAGTTCTCTAAAATTAAAAGTTACTTTTTTATATAGTTTCTCTAAATTTATCTTTTTTCCTATATTTTATATATTTTTTAAATCCCATCTCTAGTTTGACATTGTGTGTGTGTGTGTGTGTGTGTGTGTGTGTGAGAGAGAGAGAGAGAGAGAGAGAGATTATTCTTTATCCAGACTTTTCAAAGTATTGAATTTGGTTTTTACATAAACATAGAAATCATAATTAAAAATTCAAATTTATGGTTCATTTTTTAACTTAATGTAAACCACAAGCAGGTTTTTGAAGAGATCAAGCCATCTCTCTATGAATACACGACTCTATTGCTGATGGGAGAAGTAAAGCAAGAAGAGTTGAGTAGAAAGAGGTCCCATCTGTTTTGTAAAGGTCCTAAGGAGAATCTGTCTATCAGTACATACTAATCCAGGAGTTGAGCAAAAACCCAGCAGGAGGTCATTTGTCTGGAGCAACCTCACCTGTTCGTCCTTCAAGATCCTGTTCCCCCCCTCCCCTTCTCCTCTCCTCTCCTCTCCTCTCC